GGGCTGTCTTGGTTGACACGCCTCTGCAACGTCGCATGGCGGTCGGGGACAGTGCCTCTGGACTGGCAGACTGGGGTGGTGGTCCCTCTTTTTAAGAAGGGGGACCGGAGGGTGTGTTCCAACTATAGGGGGATCACACTCCTCAGCCTCCCTGGGAAAGTCTCTGCCAGGGTACTGGAGAGGAGAATTCGACCGATAGTCGAACCTCGGACTGAGGAGGAACAATGCGGTTTTCGTCCTGGCCGTGGAACACTGGACCAGCTCTATACCCTCTTCAGGGTGGCGGAGGGTTCATGGGAGTTTGCCCAACCAGTCCACATGTGCTTCGTGGATCTGGAGAAGGCATTCGACCGTGTCCCTCGCAGCGCCCTGTGGGGGGTGCTCCGGGAGTACGGGGTCCGGGGCCCTTTGCTAAGGGCTACCCGGTCCCTGTACAATCGGAGCAGGAGCTTGGTTCGCATCGCCGGTAGTAAGTCAGACTTGTTTCCAGTGCGTGTTGGACTCCGGCAGGGCTGCCCTTTGTCAGAAGAGTTCGGTGAGGCCATAAATGGATAATGAGTAAAAATGGCCCTGTGCCTATACAAAAGCCCATCCCCCATCAGTGTTTTGAGTCCCTTAGTGGGTTTTTTTTTAGCGCCCCCTCTATGGTATTTTTACATCTTTGTGTTGACAGCCACTTCATTATAGGCTCTGTACCCTGTGGGCCCATTATGACAACACAGTGCCCTTCCCTCCACATCTGAACAATAACTTGGTTCCAATACAAAAAAATACATATGCTATGTAGTGTAGTAGTTTGAGCCTGATGTAAACTAAATTCAGACAAATCATCCCAGTTTAAATAATCATTTAATATTACAATTATTCTGAGCGGGGTAGTAGTTAGATAGGTAATCTGGTAGTTAGAGAACAGAATCACTCCTCCTGCAATGGAATAGATAAAGTATTAAATAAGGAGATTGTCACAGAGTCAGTCAGTCCAGAGTCCAAGCCCCCCAGCCGGGTCCAGATTCATACTCACGACTGCAGCGCCATCACTCCTCTCTTCTAACCCACAACTGTCCTAACTTTTATCTTCTTGCAGTTACGTAGTTGAGCCAGAGTCAAGGTCCCATTCCAGCTTTACACCCCTTCTTCCGAGCATTGTCTGAGATGTCCACTACATGTACTTCTAGGTTGCGTTGACCTCGTGCACATTTCCTTTTTCTAAACATGAACAGAGCACACAAACTGTTTGCATAAGGCTGAAGCCATTTCTGTTTCCCATTTATAGAGGAATTCTCTCTGGATGTTTACCCATGAATTCAACGAGGACACAAGCCAAGATATCCTTGATTGAGTAAGAGAGGAGAAGAGAAACAGATCAAGCTTATATATACACTTAGCTCACCCTTACATAACTACTACAAATAATATCTATATATGAACTACATACTATTCTATCACATTACCTTTGGACTGGTACCTTGTTTTTAACCACTACAGCAGCATAATAACTTTATGATAAAGCTATAATCAGGCCCACATGTAAAGAAACCTTGTTTGCTCTTTGTCTCAGTGATAATGAAGCAGATCTGTCTGCAGTCACTCCTCTGCTGGTGGCCTCCTACATGTTCTGCTACACACCTTTTGTTGTGGCTGAGGTAACACTGCACTCACTCACTATGAAACCAAATGAGCTGCTGTATTTGCATGTACAGAGATGTAAAAGCCACAGAGGAAATGATTTCATTTATCTTTGTTTTTCTCTCTCCAATTAGCTGATCCTGCTGCGTAGGTTGGACCTGTCACCAGCACCATATTGGTTAAGGACCTTGTCATCAGTGATGTCATACCTGGACTGTTGCCTGAACCCTCTTATCTACTGGTCCCACCAGAACTTCAGGGTGGCAGGCTTGGCCCTGTTGTGGACCAATAGGAAACCACCATCAGAGCCTGTCCTCACTGCTGTCACTATACACGAGCTCTGAACATGTGAAAGGATCATATTTCCCAGAGCGAACCAACAATAAAACAGACAAACATTTATTTGTTATCCTTACATTATATAAACTTTTTTCCCTCCACCCTCCACTGAATGTGTTAGGGGAGACTCGGGAGTGTTGTAACCCCTGGTCAGTTGTAACACTGTCATTTTGAGCAGAAAAAGTGATGTTATCACTATCATAACTTCCCATTTCCTTTTTGTGCTGACAGAAGTGGCAGGTCTCTGTGAGCAGCACTGTGGATTTTATGAACAAAAAACAATTTTCAGGTCAAACTATATGGAGCCTATTCTGTTTGCTACATTATTATTATTTGTTTGTTTTTGTAAATCCACATTACACCTGGAATGTTTTGATTCAAGTTTTATCAGAAATCACCAGCGTGGGGTGAAATCATTAAAACCAGCAAAAACACTAGGAGGTTTTCTATAGCTTTGTTTTACACTTTGAAACAAGAATATAGCCTACTCTGCAGTACACTTTATATATATAGCTATGAAAATAGGTCTACATTATGTCAGAGGTAGGGCTGGGCGATTCTTTCGATTTTTTCGATTAATTCAAATTTACGTTTTAAGGCGATTTTTTTTTTCTTAAATCGACATATCGCGATTTTTAATTATAATAAAAAATAGATACATTGTCATTGCACCAATGGCAGAATAATTAAAAGGCAATATTGTCTGACCACATGATGGCGCGCCTAATTAACCGCTTACGTGTGAGAGCACTCTATGAAGGAACGTAATAGGCTATAGAAAAAACATCATGGAGACGGATGGCTCTTCACATCAAGATGACCTTGTGCCAAAAAAAGGTAGTAACGTTTCCTCTGTGGTTTGGAAATGGTTAGGCTTTGAGAGGTAAGACGTCGAACAAACTTTTGTCAAATGCAAAATATGTCGAAAGTCCGTTGCAACCGGCAGTGGCAGCACCACTAATTTATTCCAACATTTGCGACAAAGACACCAAGTAGAATGGGAAGAATGCTCAAAGTTAAGAAAAGAAAACAAGCCAAGTGCAACGGGGCAACCTAAAATAGCAAAACGCCAGATGTCATTAGCGGCATCATTTTCCACTGCCACTCCATATGACAAAAAGGTGCCCCGATGGCAAGAAATTACAGATGCTGTGGCGTTTCATATCGCTAAGGACATGGTTCCCATATACACCATCGAAAAGCCAGG